GGGGGGGGGGGAGGGAGCAAGCAGGAAATGAGGAAGTGTGTGAAGCTGGGAGGGTTTTCAGAGAGGATTTCCCTGTTGTGCTGTCTGCACTAGAGGCTTTGATAGAGGGAGTTCAGCATGGGCTGTAACTGTTCTGCGCTCCCATGTGCTGCCTCAAGCACTAGCTGTTCCTGTTAGGGCTTCACAGGTGCATGAATTAATCAGGGCCCCATGTAGTAAGGTGGCTACGAAGGAGGTTATGCCCAATAGACAGGATTTTACTAGCCTCCGCCTATACTGCCTCCAGGGGCTTGTTCTCAGGTTCTGGTGGAGAGGCCTGGAGGGGTGGGAGGTACCAGTGCTGGCTCTGCTTTTGCTCCGCTCTCTCCTGAGCCAAGCACATGTGTCATGTCTGCATCCAGAAATCAACCCTGTGCAAATGGCCCCATTTGTTTGCAGAACTGCTCCCTATGTGGCACCCGGTTGCACCTTCCACTTTGCCACTAACGTATCTGGAGCTGCCACTGGGGCTGTCAGCTGGGCGGCATCCTGCAGAGCTCTGTGGTTCTGGGGCAGTGAGATGCTCTGTCCCAGGTGAGCTCTGTGCTTCTTGGAGCTGCAGCCACTGTGTAGCTGGACACGGGCAGCTTCAGCAGAGTGGCATAACTGAATTCTGAATGCAGAATCAGGACCCCCTGCTAATCCCCATGGCCTCTAGCCCTGGATGTCAGGGCTCTGGGCCAATGTGATTTGTACCTGAGTGAAGGTGAAATGCAGGCCCACTGTATTTTGTGATCCTCCTGCCCTGGGTGAAGGTTGGTGGCTGCCCAAGGGGTAGAGGAAAGTGAGCAGAAGGCTGCTGGTGAGGAGTGGAATTCAAGACATGTGCACCACAGACCAGGTTGCAGCCTCACAAGGGCCCTTCTGGTATTCACCTGTGAGCTCTGCTGCTGCTAGTGGTTACTGGGGAGAGCTCTGTGGGGGTGCACAAACCTCTCGCACACATCACACTCAGTGGGGCTCATGGTAGAGTTGCTTGGTAAGAGTCAGACTGCTGGAGTCAGCATGTTTGCTCACCTGCCTGCCTGCTGGAGTGTTTCATGGGTGTCAGCAAGTCTTGAATAGAGAGAACCTAGTCAGGGTTACATACCTGAGTCTGCAAAAAGCTTTAGGATCATAGCGAAGCAGGGCTGGAAAGGACCTCATGAGGTCATGTAGTCCAGTCCCTGCTGAAGGCACAAGCATCTCTGAATAAACCATCTCAAACAAGTGTCTGTCCAACCTGCTCTTGAAAACTTGCAGGGATTCCACAGTTTCTCTAGTTGCCTGTTCTAAAATTTAACCATTCTCATAGTCATAAAATTCCTCCTCATTTTTTATCTAAATGTTCTTCTGATAAAGCTTGCAGCCATTCTCCTAGTCCCATCCCCTTTGACCACAGGGAAAAGCCCATCTCCATCCTCTTTCATTGCCCTTCAGGGATTTGAAGACTTACCAATTCCCACCTCAGTCTTCTCTTCTCCAGGCTAAATAACCCAAGCTCTTTCACCTTGTCCTCACCAGTCTTGCTTCCCAGGCCCCTGGTAATTTTTGTTCCTCTGTGTTGGACTCTTTCAAACTATCCACATCCTTCTTGAAGTGCAGGGCCCAAAACTGGACACAGGACTCTAGGTGAGGCCTCACCAGTGCTGAATAAAGCAGAAGAATCACTGCCTTTGGTTTGCAAGTGACAAGGTCCCTCACCAGAGGCTCTTCAAGAAACAAAGCTGTCCCAGGATCAGGGAAAATGTTCTTGCATGGAATGAAAACTAGTTAAAAATAGGAAAAAAGATGCATGGATTCATAGATGTTTCTGTTGGAAGGGACCTCAGTAGACCATTGAATCTGACCCCCTGCCATGGGCAGGAAAGAGTGCTGGGGTTAGATGACCCCAGCCAGGTGCATGTCTAGCCTCCTCTTAAAGATCCCTAAGGTAGGGGAGAGCACCACCTCCCTTGGAAGCCCATTCCAGATTTTGGTAACCGTTACCGTAACAAAGTTCTTCTTGATGTCCAATCTAAATCTGCTCTCCGTCAGTTTGTGGCCATTGTTCCTAGATACTCCAGAGGGTGACCTGGTAAACAGAGCATCTCCTATTCCTCGCTGCCCCACCCCGGAAAGAATTTGTAGGCAGCCAAAAAATTACCCCTCAGCCTTTGCTTGTGGAAGCTGAAGAGATCCAGGTCCTTCAATCTC